GTTGACATGTTTAGGGTTAAGGGTTTATAGGGTTTGGGTACTTTAGGGTTTGGGCATCTTAGGGCTTAGGCTTTGTTAGGGTTATTGGTTTTAGGGTTTTGAGGGTGAGTAGTTGTCAAGAGCTTTCGGGTTTGGGCTTTTTAGGGTTTAGGGTTTTGGGGGTTTAGCGTGTTGAGGGTTTCTAGAGTGGTGGCTTTACAGATTTTAGGGTTTAGGGTTTTTAGAGTTGGATGTTTTTAGGGATTGTCTTTTTGGGTTTAGGCTTGTTGGTGTTTAGAATCTTTAGGGTTGAGGGTTTGTGGCGTGATTGGTTTTTTGTGGTGTTTAGAGTTTTGTGTTTTTAGGGTTCAGGTGTTTAAGGGTTGGGGCTCTTTTAAAGCTAGGGGTTTTAAGGGTGTTTAGGGTTGGTGGTTTTTAGGGGTTTTAGGGTTTGGGTTTCAAGGTTTAGGGTTCTTGGGGTTTAGAGTGTTTAGGGTTGGGTTTCTTTTAGGGTTAGTGTTTTGTTAAGGTTTAGGGGTTTCAGGGTTTGGGTTTTTTAGTGTATTTTTTTTTCGGGTTTAGGTTTTTGGGTGTTTAGCGTTTTAGGGTTTAGGGTTTTTAGGGATAGTGGTTTTTAGAATTTTCGGGTTTTTGCGGTTTTAGGGTTTGGGCGTTTTACGTTTAAGGTTTTTTGGTGTTTAGAGTTTTTACGGTTAGGGTGTTTAGGGTCATTGGTTTTTAGGGCTTTTAAGGTTTGTGGTTTTTAGGCTTCAGGTTTTTTAGGGTTGGCTTTTTGGTGTTCAAAGGTTAGGGGGTTTTAGGTGTCTTGAGGGTTAGTGGTTTTGGGGGATTTTAGAGTTTGGGATTTTAGGATTTTAGGATTTAGGGTTTTTGGTGTTTAGAGTGTTGAAGGTTTTTAGTGTTGGTTTTTTAGAGATTTTAGTGTTGTTTGTTTCAGGGTTTTGGTTTTTTGGTGTTTAGGCTTTTGGGGGCTTGCATGGTGATCGAGATCCCTTTTTGTTGGTGTTTTTGCTCCGGAGGGTGGTGACGATCATACGTCCTTTAGAACTGCTAGACCGTGAGCGGGCTCCTTTGGGTTTCTGCTGCGGCCATGTGTAGTAATTTGGAAACATC